TTTCACGTCTAAATCTGTAAGGGCTCGTTTGTTACAGAACCGGTCAATAAAGTGACTGACCGTTAGCTGGACGTTCGGAGTTGAAAGTTATTATGCTAATTAAATTTATTTTATTTTGTTTGTGTCGGTTTATCGGTTCACGATCAGCTCTATTTTACACTGAGACTCAAATGACGTATCTTTTTTTTTTTTAAAAAAAATGACTCATTATATCAGAAACTGGAACACGATATAAAATGTAGATGCATTTATTTATAGAACTTTTCAGTGTGTTGTATGTTAAGGAAAATACACGAACAAATATTTTGGTATTGCAAAAAGGGATTAAGTCAAAGTTTCTATCTCACCAAGTACGAAAGGAGTAATTTCTGAGACTGCAGTATGTGTAATGCGTAGTGTGATTATCTTGGAGGAACAGATTTTTAAATGCAGTAATATATGTACTTTAAAGACAGTCATATACAATCGAAATATGGCAAAAAATATATTTAAATCTAAGAAAGTATGTAAAATATTTGAAGAAACTTTTGTTAAGTCTATAAGTTTTTGCATAATAATCACACAGTTGTTAGACATGATACTCCATTTTTCCATTCTTCCTCGTTATTTACCTCACTGCTGTGCTGTGGCGTACTTACGGAAAGTAAAGCGATATGGCCTATCGCTTTCATACATGCGGCCGTTACACGCGAATGCAAGATGGCGGCGATATACCACTCTATATTATTAATTACTTTCTAGTTTATCAGCGTCATTTTCACTAAGGCATCATATGAAAACATTATCTACACACTTAATTTCAAATTTTACTTTAAGTATCTAGATTATATTACCACACGGAATTTGTACCGAAACTGTCATGCCAATTTGTTAATGGTAAATACTGATCCAACATAACTCCACCACTTCACATGAAATTAAAATCCAATTCTCTCAGTTTTCTCAAGGGATTCATCGCACATTAAGTTTGTATATGAATGCAATGTACGTGTAGCTCTGACAGGTCTAAAGTATATTAGAAACATTTGTCTTGTTTTTAACTAAAAACAATGAAAAATTACGTCCCTCAATTCAGTTTAGTGCTGTCTGTTGTTACTAGGTTTGCCACAGGATGTTTATATTTTAAGTGAGTTATGAGACGGTCAGATTATTCAAAATTGCAAACAACTTTTGTGGAAAATATTTGAACTACTCTTTATTTGTAACTCATAAGGAGAACATTTCTTTAACATTTTATCAGTTCCATCATTTAATTACATACAGAATAGCGGTGTAATAGTCTCTGAATGGGGATCTAACTCTATTCTAAAAGTCTGTGTTATATGATTGTGAATTTTTGGTAACTTGGTTTAGAGTAGTACTTTTTATTTTAAATTGCAAATACCTTGAGAGTGTAAAGAATATACTCATTATTGCAACACGGATATTGTTATTTATTTATATTTTATTTAACGGCCCACTTTTTCAGTATCCCTGAATATATATATATATATATCGTCGAATGAAAGGATGATAGTGAATAATTAATTACAATGGATTTGGAAGGAAGCGGTCGTGGCCTGATTTAAGGGGATTGAGAAAAATCGCGAAAATCCGGCACCTCCCGAATACAAAGCAGGAGTATTAGACACTCTACCACGGCGTTCGGTGACATATATGTCGATGGGTTGTACAAACTCCTTTATCATGCTTTTTAAATTAAAATAACGTGTATGTTTTATATTGCTTCTGAAAATCTCCTGATCCTGGAAATCTGTCTTGGTAGATATTTTTAACAAACATTTAAACTTCTGATTTGTGTAATGTTTGTGTTCAGCATGTATTCGTAGGTGTAGTCACATACCTGTCATTATCCCTCACAGTACAACTTCTATATACTGTCAGTAAAATATTTTCCTCTTCGTATTATAGAACAGGTAATCTGGCTGAAGTAATTCGCTCAGGACATAGCTACCATGTCTCGGGTATTAAGAATTCCTCACTGAACGACCTCTCTGAAGCCTGGCCCTTCTGTTGGTTGACACTGAGGTCGAGATTTTGTCGTTTGATCTTCCATCCGTGTCCATAATTTGGTCACTCCAAGGTTCATGAGCTGCATAGTGTGTGATGGAAGCAACAGGATTTTGCCACTCAAAGGGTTTGGTAGTTAAGATTTTCTGACCCTGCTGGAGTCTGTTCCCGATTCAGTAGTTGTAATGGTATCGAGGTATGAGCCGGGATAGCTCAGTCAGTATAGTGACTAGCTACGGGTTGGACGACCGGGGTTCGATCCCCGACGGGGGCAGAGGATTTTTCCTCTGGCCTCTGCGTCCAGACCGGCTCTGGGGCCCACCCAGCCTCCTCTACAATGGGTACCGGGGTCCTTTCCCGGGGGTAAAGCCGGCCGGGGTGTGTGCTAACCACTCACCCCCATCTAGTGCCGAGGTCAAGGAAGAGAGGAGCTATACCTCCACTCACCCCAAACGCCTACATGGCGTATAGTGGGATAAACTTTACTTTACTAATGGTATCGAGGTTGATGTTAGAACGTATTACGAGCATTATGATTGAGTTTCCTTAAGTTTGTCAGTCTATGTAGGCGATATGTGAGGTGGTTAAGTTACCTTAATATAAGTCACCGATTGTGTCCTTCATAATCCTTAATCACTCATCATTCATAAGTCTTTCATTCGTCACTGTACTGCTTGCATTTGAAACACATTTGTTGAAATACCTAAGACTTATTAAACTTTAGTGTTGTTTGATTTATAAGTTTAAACTGTACAGAATTCAACAGTTGTCTTGAAGCTGGACAAGAATTAAATTGTGTATTTCACTGTCAAAGTACACGTATTTACAAATGTTTAAATTCTTCTTACGTCATAGTTGTTCATTTCTTGCAGATACAAATGTGCCGTTTCAAGCTTAAATGTAAAGTACTGGTGGTTATATCTGACCGATATGGACCAAAGTTGGATTCACTAACCGGACTTTTAGTAAAGATCAATGTCCCCAGTTTTAATACATTCCAAGTTGATAATGCACGATAATACTTGTGTTCCGCTGTTTGTATTTAAATTAAATAAAGTAAAAACTTGTTCCAGTTAAATTCACATCTTCTTGTGGGAAAATAGAGACACGAAAAACATATCTTAAGCTTAATTAAATATGGACTGTTATAGTTTATGCCCATGTGATGACTCTCAGAACAGCCATGTATTTTTGAAGCAGACCTTAATGAATAGTGAATTTGTCATTCTTTCTGCAGACTGTCAATGCCAAGATGTAATCTAAATCCTTGTATTAGCTTAGGAGATAAACACAGACACAAACTTCCCTTTATAGGTTCACTTTGGACAACGAGCACTAAACTTCACTAAGGGGCTACGTGTATTTTATCTCGGAGTCTATAAAATTCAGAGGAATAACAAGTTCAGGAAGTCTGTGCTGTTCATCACTCTAAGTGCGAAGTTGCAGCTGTGTTGCGAGGGGACCCATGTGATTCCTGAAACCTGGACGGTTTAGTCGAAAATGCAAACTCGTCTGCTGCCTCGAGTGACAAATATCCCACTCTAGAGGAATTACCGAGATGCAAGGCGATGTTCTTTGTTCCTTTATCTGTTCCTTTCTTTCATTTTATGTTTTCTGTGTCTGCGTCCTTCATTTCCCTCTGTCCTTCTTTCTTTCTTTCGTCTTTTATTTAAGCATGGATGGACAGGGGGCGGATGTAGTCGCTACAGACGTTTCGCTGTTCAGAATTTACCGTGTAGCGGCGACGATAAACTGTATATTGCAAAGAGTTTGTTAGTTTTGACATGTGTCGTAATGAGCAGGGAACCGGACGCTGGGGGTAATATGGTTATCTCTGCAGAAACAAGTGACAGGCAGCTCCTCCACCCCGACTTCCCACAACGCCTTACGACACAACGTAACAAAGGGAATAACTTGAAATAAAAACGCAGCCCAGTGGCCCGGTCACAAAACAGTGTGGTTTATATTTTGATTCTTTACGGTATTAGAACATTCACTTTTAATTCCAGAACAACAGCTTTTGTTTTCGTACTAATATAACGAAAATGTGCCAATCTTCACCTTTCCTTTTCCGTGGCAAATGACGACGTCCATCGAAATCCTTACCTGCTTACTATTCGCGATCATCTTCCCATCTCACTCATTTTTAAACTACAGTTTAAACATCATCATTAAAAACCTGAGATCCGATCTAAATAATATATGTTAAATTCCAGGTCGTACATCTGTACTTCAGTATAATCCTGCTGTGCATAAGCCGTTCACCGTGCAAAGGCGGCAACTTCTCCGGCGCGCGTGTTTACCGTGTAGTCGGAGCATTGTGACAAGGCGTATTTACAAATTGTCTAACGAGCCCGGTGGCCTTAGGATCTGTTTGTACAGTGTTGCGTGTTTCTGTATTCTGTGAAAGTTTCAGAGACTTTTATTCATACAATGCAAGATCCCGATTTTTCTACTATATGCAAATAGAATATTATGTAATTGTTCTCGTATTTTGAACTTTCGGCATGGCGTTACGTTTGTATTCGGGATACAAGTCTGTTTGTGTTTAATCTCTGTCAGCTGACCAGCAATTCTAACTGAGGTTTTCTGATGTTTTCATAAGATCCGCTAATCGTTTACCAGGACAGCACCTTCAAACAAGTAATGACCGAAGATTTCTGTCTTCTGGGTTGTTGCGCCGTGTAGTCTGGTCGATGCTAACCAACGTTCCAGAGGTCATACTGCCTCCGTCATCAGGGCGACAGAAATCTTCATACTCACCGCTGTGAAAACCTCAAATGTTACAAAGTAAAGACCGCCTCCTTCCAAATCCTCACGTACTCACCAATTATTGTTACCTACATCTTACATCACAGACATACTTCGCCTCCGCAGCAAGGAATGAGTTTACAACACGATTTTAATCTCTTAGTTACAATTCTGAAGTTTCATTATTAGCTTACTGTTGTTTCATAGAATAAACAAGTTTTGTTTGTTTTTGGTTTTAGTGTTTGGTTGGAAATAAATATTTACCCTGCCCTCTACCGGAGAAACTAGAATTGGAACAGTATGAGGCTATCTACTCAGAATCACGTGACCTCGGTCTGAAAACTGATTTGCTGGATACGTGGTACAATCGGGATGATACCAGCTACGTCTTACAACAACCAAGGTAAAGTGATTTACGTGTTATGTATTACACGAGTTCTATTTTCTATTTTCGATGCGTGATTAATTTTCTCTGCTGAGGAAACACGCCAAGCTTATGCCACCATTTCTGCCACTCGTTCCTCTCTCACATCCAGTCACTGTCTCTGCTGCTTGCTGTACTCAAGACATGTCATTTCAGGTTTGCTTTCAACCTAAAGGAACCGTCTATGCGTCCGTCTACGTATGTAACAACTCGGCAACGGCTGAACGAATTTCCAGTTAATTTGGTTATAGACAGTTCTACTAACATTTTTCTTCAAATGTCAGTTTTTGTCGAAATCGGACAACAATAACAGATGATTTACGTAACATGATCGCTCAACCCTTGACTCTATAGCCCATTCTTGGAACTAGAAAAAAATTGTAATAGCGGCTGGTTTTAATGTATACATTCATTTCATTATCTCAGTTCGTCCGTTTTAAATTATTGACATTACTTTCTTTTGTTTCAAGAGAGAGGCATATATTTCTTTAAACGAGGATTTATTATATTGTCATTATGAATTCTGTATACAGGTCTATATGTAAAACGATCGAATTCTCAGAAAGCGAGTGCTTTGTTTCTAATTGTTTTCAGTGACGTTCGAACAGAGGAATGGGAAATCGAATTCCAGGAACTGCAAGAGGTAATCCAAATATCTGCGCGAAATCTCGCAGCCAGTGAGACACGTGTACTTCCCATTAAGTTCCGTCACCTCACGTACTCCGCAGTGGAGAGGCAGTTCAGCCACGCTCTCGGTAAGCAGGTCTTAGAATCGTTGTTTGGTGCTTGTACGAAATTTGATTTCTCACTAATTTGCTGGCAAATGAAGAAATCTTCATACTCACCCCTGTGAAAACCTCAAATCATATAAATGAAGAAAATGTTTGGATGTGAGAGAGAAGTAACAAGAGGTCGCAGAACATTCTGTAATTACGTGGTTTATACTTATTACTTTTTCATTCTTTTTTGTTTTTTGTTTTTGTTTTTATGCATATAGTGCATAAACTGAAAACAAAATTGAAGGGCTTGCTGTATTCGTGCACTTTTTATCGCCGAATGTAATGAACTTATTTTGATTAAATCTGAGAATGAAGACTATACTAAAATTTTACATTGTTTTAGTGTAAAATCTTGTTCAGGACTATATGAATTATGAATTAAATATATCCCTGTACATTTTTTAAAATATTTGAAAGTATACATTAATCCCCGAGCGACGTAATACGTGGAACTGATACGAAAAGGGGACGTATGTCAGGCTGCTGTGAAAACAACGTAAGATAACCCAAAATTCAGACGCAGTGGTCGTATATTTATGATTGTTTAATTTTGTGCTGTAGGTTTGGCTCCAGGAACTGCCCATCACATTCTGGCTGTCATCAGGGACTGGGAGAAGCTGGAGGACGGCGAGTCACATTTCCAGGATGTTGACCCTCAAGGACTTCCGCATAAATGTTACCGGGAACAACTGAAGAACTTCAGGGACCGCCTTGCCGCGGCTCTGCCCAACGACAACCGAGCCTTCCTGACGTAAGTTTACTGAGAATAACACAAAAACATGGGAGATTTATAAGAAGATACATTTTTAATCAGTTAGTTAAAAGCTGTTGCCTTTGAGGCTGCTTTCTTAAACGCTTACGTAGATACAATGTTAACAGATATTTTTATGTAAAATGTGGTTTCTACTCTGAAAAAATTATAGGGGTTTGAAAACAAAGTGCCCAAGAAAATATTTTGACCTAATAGGAATGAGTAAGCGAGCAGTTTAAGATGTCACACGTGACTGTCTATAACGAGGATTTGACATGTTAACCCGTCTTATTTAGAACACTGAAATGCAGAAGTTACAGCTGGGATGAGGGTGACGTGGAATGTGTACAATTTGTAGTTGTTTAATCTCATCTGAATTGTTTACTTGGAAGACAGAAAAGATGTGATGATTACATAAAGATGGATCTTAGAAAAGAAAGTTATTTTAGGAAATTTCCTTTCAGTGTCGGACTTCGGCAATGGCAGTTTTCAGCCTACGAATTATGTTACCAGATGGATGATTGTTTGGTTTCTTATGTGAGATGTTTGAGGAAGTATTCCTATTAATACGCAGTGCAGATTTTCGGCTGTCTTGCATAATCAGACTGACATAAAGCTGAGAAGGGCCTGTCTAATGTAAACATGGGCTGTATTACGAAACTGAACGGGCTCTTTAATTAATATATTAATTAATTAATCTGTATCTCTACATGGGACGCACCAGGGAGACTATCTGATTAGACTTGACGGCCTGATTCATCAACTACCATCCTTCAGTCATAAAGATAATTGTTTCCACCCCTCGTTACCCGCTTGTTATGCAGTGACCCTGAATGTTGTTCTGTTCTAATAGGTTAACCTACTCATTACGCTTCCTATGTGCAAAATTTATAAGATCGAAACCCCGTGTCTACCAGACGCCTTTTTTCTAATCGTCACAACTGTTCAACGAATATCAGATTTCCGACAGTAAGTTTGTATATGTAAAGATACATTTATATCTGCAATTAATGAGCTTCAACACCAGTGTAATATTCAAAATCACAAATAACGCATTGAAAATACGTGTATTCCAGACTGTTATTGATAAGTCTTAAGTGCATGAATTTAAAGCTTGTTGTTTGATCAAACATCCTTTGACTGTGAAATACACGTAAATAGAAGATGCGATTTTAACACGAATTACAAGTTTTCGCACTTTGCATAATTACTGTCCGGAGAATATTAATTCTGCTACAAACGGCTCGCCTGCATAATTAGTGAGCGAAACGACAGTGGATTAAAATATTGTTCACCAAGTTCTAAGTGCACACCTCGCCTATAAAGTACCAGGGCGTGGGAATTCTCCTGCTGTAATCTAACTGCGGAAGTTTATATGATGCCAGCAAACAGCTTTTTCATGTCAGCCTGCTTCGCTACATACACCATCCCAAAACTTAGGGCCTGTCTTAAATATTAAAGAAAATAGACCAGGTCTATTTCTGAGCCGCTAGTGTAAGATGTAAAGAATTAGACATCTCATTTCCGTTGAATCTGCACACGTTATTATTTGTTCTTTGCATGAAATGCATAAAATGAGCCCTTGACTTGGAGGTCCTGTCTGTTCGTCCACAGGTTTAATTTACAATGAGCCGATTTTGATGACATTGTATGGGAAGTCTACACTAAGGTTGTTGGGTGGATTTAATTTTGGTTTTAAACAGCCATGATTGAATCTGATAACACAATAAACACTGTCCCAAAACAGGTTAGACATTTTATGAAAGGTGGCCCTACAAACTGATAAACTGCTGCTTTATTCTAGAACTATTTGTGTTCAATGTATTCATGTTTTGTTCCTCGAAGGAATATTGTCATACCACGTCTACGAACACGAGTCTCAAACCCCGAATTCCAATCCCTGTAGCACATCTTAATACAGACGTTTCCAAAATGTATTATGACACTTTTATGCGTCGCAGCTTATAAAAATGTGGAGACCTTTATTTTAAATACAAATTTAAAAAAAGTAATTTGATACGGAAGTGTTTCGTCATTGTTCAATGAAGACATGTGAAAAGAGAGGTTTGTTTCTGTTGGTTGCAGAGTACCGTGGAAGCCCGGAGGATTGGATACGGAGTGTGAGGAACACGAGGCTTATCTAAGCAAGTTTCGGGAAACCGCGTCATCCAAGTTACAGGCTCTCATCAACCGCAGCCTGGAAGAAGAACCGGAAATTAAAGCCCGCAACAAAACCGTGCAGGTTGGTAAATATGCATAGCGCATGTGGTACATATCAAAACACCAGTTTTGTGGCTTGTGTGAAGTATTGTTTTCTATTTATTTATTGTTCTCTCTGTCTTTCGTTATGCTTATTCTTTCTTCGTTATTAACGCATATCATCCAGTTCGTATGCGTTTATTGTAAAAAGTTATCAATTAAGAAAGAATGATTTTAACTTAGATAATTCAGAAACATATCGTGAAAATCGACATAATTGATGTGTGATATTAATCATTAATAGTGTGAGGATAAATAAGTTTTAATTCCCAGGATGCAAAAATTATATCAGTAATAAATGTAGCCACCAACGCCAATAAGATATATAGAAACCCCCCCCCCCCCAA